GGCAAGCTCACTGACATGAAGTTAGGAATTCATCATTTGGTTCCCCATCAGATGAACAATCTGATATTAAGATGCTTCAAATCACCATCAGGGTGCTGAAAGAATATTAAAAGAAAAAAAAAAATATAACAATTTCCACCTTTAAAAGCTAGTCAGGGGTTCCTACATAGTACTGCTCAGAACTGAGAGCATGTTAGCCTCTCATGAAAAGAGCATGACCGTTCCCTTGCAGCCCCTGCAGGAGGGGACAAGGAGCATGGCCATGGCACAGCACGAACCAGCCCTTTGCTCCTCTTAATTCTCCTCTGAGACTGCAAGTCTTCAAATGCTCCAAAACCTGGGTAAACTCATCCTCAAAATCTGGCTATGCAGACCATAAAGGGATAGCAGTGGGTGGTTTCACAAGGGAGGCAGAAATTAGCTGATTATGAGAAAGAGGTAAAGGGAAAGGGAGGTACAGAGTCAAATCTCCATCCATTCAGAAGCTGCAACCAGCCTGTGCTTTACTTCAGCCCTAAGAATTCAAGAGCCAACCTCTGTCCCTCGGTTCTCATCCTCTAAACAAAATTTAAACAAAAAAATTCTACACCTCTGGCAACAAATACTTTGAGAAAAAAAAAATTACAATTTAATTACATCTGGGAAATACCCAGCAAACACTGTTTAGTGCAGAAGGAAATTTGTGTGAGAGACTTAATTCGTATAAATTTCATTTTTTTAATACAAAATTTTAAAAATTTCACCTTCCAGTGAAAGGCTTTTCTGTTATGCTTTGAATGATCCTATATTACTTTTTGAAACACAGCGTTCAAGGTCAGAGGAAGTTCATCTTTAAAAAAAAAAGATGTCACGACAAGGTCTGTTTCTTCCTGCTGTTACGCTTATTAACATGGCACCCATCACCACCATATCTGGGGGGCACAGATCCAAAAGATACATCTTACAAGTGAACAGCCTTAATGAAAATGAAGCACACATGCTCTGAACAATGTGAGATTACTTGTAACAACAAGTATGTAAAAAGAAAGGAAAACAAAGAAGATAGGATAACAAGACAGTAGAGAACCAGGGCGTGAAGAGCTGTTGAAAGAAAACCATAGAGACAGACCTAACAACACGTGCAGATAAACCAGTAAGAAAGCTCAGTATTACAGAGAATGGGTAAATTCTTCAATATATCCAATTCTTACAGGCTCTTAAGACATCAGACTGATCACAACCATGTGTCACAAGGAGAGAGGTGTCCACAAGGCAAACACAGGTAATAACCAATGTCAGAGGGTTGAAGAAAAGTGAATATAGCTACATAGGCAAATTCTGGTTGGTTTCAGATGCCATGGCTGCGCTGCTTAGTCGGCAGCGGGAACGAGTTGTACCACCAGAGGATCTAGCCCAGAAGGCTGGAATGAGACCTTTGGACAGTGTAGATCCACAGGCTATATCACCCTTCTGTCCTCTTTCCAGTTGAATAGTAATGCAGGAAAGAAAAAGGAAAAACAGAAGTTCAAGCTAAAAAATGTTCCCATTCCTTCATGGAAGAACCCATCTTGCTGAAGGTTTGGCCCTCAGGATCTAGGGCAGATATGCGTGTCAGCTGTCCTCTAAGACATCGAGACATGCATCATGCACCCAACTGCACAAATTTGCCAGCAAGTAAAATAAATGTTTCAGCTTTTGATTTAAGCCACATTAGGACAGCATATTTTTGCTCCAGGATTACAAAGCCAGACTTGCTTAGGAGGTTATCCAAGGTTGTAGTGTGTGCAGTTCTGAGTGTTTCTGTGTGGAGTTCCTACTGCAGGTTGCCAGACCTTAATTTAAGCCCACTTCAAAAACATAATTCCTTCAGTCAGGCAGATAGTTTGCCAGCAGTTCTTCTCTCCATCCTGCCTTGGACTGTTCATGAAGAAGAAAAATCTCACAGTAATCAAGGTTTTCTTTGTAATCTTTTTCTGTTATATTGAAGCTGTATAACTACAAGCTTACAAGAAATCTGTATAAGATAAAAGCTAATCAGATTCAGATAAGCATTTAGCTACATACATCCAGGCAGCATGAGGAGGTAGAAAAACAAATGTTATTTGAATATTTATAGAGACCACTTTAAATGTAGTTAGTGAGGTGTACTCTTCAAGTATTAGCATGAAAAACATGCAGGTCTGTGGCTCAGCTTTGAATATCCATGTCTGTGCACCATGTCTTAAAACCCCAGGGTTTTGGTGGTTTTTTGATATATATTTAATAGATTAGTACCTTAAAAACGTAAGAAAAGAAATAAATAAACTAAATACAGATTCTGTCTAGAAGTTCACCTATACCTGAAAAGATAAGAATGCTGAAGATATTGTAAAGTCAGCAAAAAATCCTAAGACAAGAGCAGCAGAGCCAGGACTGGCAAACAAAAGAAAGGTGTGCTTTCCTGCAGCAGCCTCACTTCTTCAGAAACAAAGAGTAAGCTGGAGAAAGGTTTAATACACAAAAATCAATACCCTAGGGAGGTGGCATGCTGCCCCCTGCCTCCCCCAGGCTTCACCACAAGCACGCAGAGATTTTATTTAGACTTCTTAGCTTTATTTAGACTTCTAGTTTTATTTATTTATACTTGTACATTAATGGTTCAAGACTGAAAGAGCATGGGTTCTGTGCACTGGTAATTAAAAGCCAAGCCTGACCATCACTCTGACCCTTGCTCAGGAGCCTCTGCCACAGCTTTTTCCACACAACACATTGCTTGCTCCCACTCGTGTTCCACCAATAGCCACAAACTTCCTGCATTTAAAATACGACTGTTTGCCTTAATAGTACTCTAGAAAGTTCCAAAAGCTCTGCCTAAATAACCTTCAGCTGTCCTTCCTCAGTTTTAATTACATCTACCTGACACCTCTCTCTCCTCTTCATCAAAGTCCCTCACTTCTTTATTGCTCTTATCTTACTGCACTCTTTATATCCTGTTAAGGACACTAACTAGTTGTTCTCATTACGAAGTTATTGAAAATACAAAAATATGGAAGAAAACCAAAACCCACAGGACAGGCACAGCCAAAAACCACAATGACAGAGCTTTCCCACCTTTCCCTAACCAACTGTGACCCTTTGTACTCCTTTCACCTATCTTCTTCCCATGCAGACAGCAGGAAGAATCAGTCTCCAAGAAAAAAATTTGAAACCAGCCCTGCTCCACGCAGGGTGCTGGACTAGATTTCCAGAGGTCCCTTTCAGCCAAAATAATTCTATAACTCTACTTATGAATAAGCATTTGATCAAATCCAAGGCTTTATAAGAGTTTGTTTCAAGAATGGTTGCCAGAGGAAAACACAGAATTGGGGAGTAAAACAAAAAAAATGACAATAAATTTCAAGACAGACATGCAAAGGCTTCTGAACACTGAAAAACTTTCTAACAGTAGTACTGTGTTTGGTAACTCATAAATTAGTGGGTTTTAATCAAAGCATAAAGAGGTAAGCTGACTTGTTAGGTAAGTAATTTCCTCAGTAGCAAAATGGAATTGTGGTTGTGATAAACTAAAAAAAGCTTAAATTTTTCTACACTGGCACTTCCTTTTAAAGTAGATTTTTACACATCTCTAATGATTCAGATTTGCTCCAAGTAACGGCTCTTCTCAGCCAAGACCAGCATTCAAGTCCTTGGCTCGAGCCACAGACACACTCAGACACGCCCTGAGAGCTCATCTGTAACGAAGCTATTGCAAAACGTTAACATCATGTACTATTAAACAATCGAAGTTACTAATGTTGGATGGATGCCTTGAGGAGGTCAAACCCAGAGAAAGTCCCACAAGGCTCGAGGGCTTGAAACAACAGTTTTCCATGCTGATGATGAAAGGAAGCCAAATTGTAGCACATTTAATTGCTCAGCCCTGTCTCTTCCAAGGCTGGTCATCTTTTCCACAGTGAGGACATCTCAGATTTAAGCAAGCCATCTGTCCACTGTCCACTTTTCCCACTATCTCATTTTGACTGACTGTATATCCACTTGGCATCTTCTCCAGTGACCCGCACTGTATGCAAGCTGGACACATAAGAGGCTTCCCCTTGCAACCACAGAAAGAACTTTGACAAACAAACATACTGAGAAGAATCACTTCAGCACTTGAAGAAACTACAGTTTAAACTAGGTACTTGAACTCTACAGATCTTTCCTTTCTCTGTCACAAGTTATTGCAACATACTCTTTTTAAAAATCCCTAGGCCGAAAATTGGGACAGGAGAAATCCCCATAAACAGCAACACATATTCCTAACTACAAGAACCTCCAGCAACACTGACAGCTGTTATTAAAAGGTCTTTGCCATCACCACTGATAGTTCACTATAAAACAGATAACTCTCAGGAATGACCAAGGTGAGGTTTACCCCAACAAGCCAGGAAGGATGGATGGACTCAGTGACCTATTATTATGAACTTTTCCGGGATTTTGTCAGACATTTCTTTTTATGAAGTCAAATAACCGTGACTTAATTCCGGATTACAGGTCTTGAAGGTAGCATGGAGCTGAGCTGGTAGACCCTTTCAGCCCAGCTCTGTAGAGAGACTCTTGCTCAACTTCACTAACACAGCCTTGCACCTGGGGTTATAAAGTCCAGCCTCCCGACAGAGCAAATAGTTCATCATGCTGGCAGAGCTCCACTGCTTCCACTCCCAAAGGTTTCCATAGCAACCCTTCCCTACATATGTGCACCACGCAGTTCTCTTTCTCTAAATAAATATGTAAATAACCTAAATAACTTACATTACTACTGCATTTCTTAAGTTATTTTAAGACTGAACATAGGTGCAAGAAAATATTCTTGTAGGAAGAGCATTGTTTCTCACATCATATATGATGTAGTTATGATCACAATAGTTTTATATAAAAACTAGACATAAACATAAACTTTAGCTGACCTACATTTTTCCAGCATGAAAAAGTATTTTTGATAAACAATTCTGAATCTGTACAATGGGTTACACTGAACGCATAATTTACATAATACCACCTACCTGCAGCTGCAAAGCACAAAACCATCAAAGCAAACACTGAAGTCACACAACTTGAAGACATTTTTGCAAATGCTGTATCTTCTCAAATCAATTCCCTTTGTAGCTCTTCATGTAGATTTGCTTTCTTTGAAATTTATAGTGTGCTTTGAAATCAAATCCTCCGGACTTTTAATTGCCTACAGATAGAAGTAAAAATACATATTAATATAAATACAACTTATAGAAATGTTACTAGACATTTAAAATTGTCTCTCTTGTATGAAGGAAACAGAATTCTTTCTTAAAGGACTACTAGGGGAGTGCATTTTATATTGCCAGATACCCAGGTGCCAATAGCCGAGTACTCTTCCCTTGTATTTCAGTACTTCTTTGCAGCTGTTGCTCTCTCATTTTATACACTGTGCAAGTTATGATCTAATTGGAAGTGAAACCCCAGAGTCCCTTCTGTCAACTAATACCAAAGTCCTGCTGAAGTCTGCCAATGGTACTCACACCCTCAGACATGTTTATTTTAAGTAATCAGACTTTCTCTGGGACATATAAACATTTGTTTGGTTATTTATCTGCTGCTACCTTTATTATAGCATGGAGAAATGTTTCACATATGCTCTAGCTGATTTATGGGTAACTCCATAAATTTAACTCATAGTTTCTCAGTATGACAAATTCTGAAAACTCTTCAATGCCACTTGACACCAAATATAAAGCTGTTCAAAATCTTTATTTTAAGAGATTTCAGGACATGATATACCAGGTCAGTTAAACAACTTGAGTGTGCTGTACAAAAAAATTACAAGACAGCTGATGACTGCAAGGCTTAAAAACATTGAAAATTTTGAACCCAGAATTTCACACTGTAGATTTTTGAGGGAAAACACCAGATCCACAATATCCTGTTCCACCTTCTTTTTTTTTTTTTTAACCTATTCTCAGTCATCTAAATGTCTAGAATAAGACTACCTACCAAGAAGGTAAGGAACCAGAGTTTTGGTACTTTGTTCAGTCAAATAAAAAAATCTTATCTACTTTATTTCACTACCAGCCTTCTGGAGCAGAAGATGACAGATGGCACCTTGGCAACCACTAACACTCACTGTAAAGCAACACAAGCAATTACAAACCACCATCACAGGACGAGGTGACAGGAAAATGCTGAGTCAGGACTATGGCAACATGAATACCATATAAAAGATTCTTGCAGACATTAAAATGGAATGAAGCACAAAGACAAAAGGCTGGGCTCCATTATACAGTGTGTGCCGTGCTGCACACCATCAACAGTCCGCACCACAAAAACCTGCACCCAGACCTCCACTCCTGGGGCTACGAGCAAAACAGCAGGAACTCCTCTGCAGCATTTCCCGATGGCTCATTCGGCAGGGACATTACTCAGATCATGCTCCCATCAGCACAAACCTCTCATTCTTCAGAGACATTTTAAGGCACAGAGTTGTGCAGAAATAGGGAGCACAGGGAAAGAACTGGAGAGAAAGGAATGCTGCTCAGAATCCCATTCTGACCTGACCACCTAAATATGTTAAAATGTCAAGTTTCAATTTGACTTTGATAAGGGAAAGATAATTTAAAAGGGAAAGAGGATACACACACATTTCCATCTGTACAAGTGATTTGATTCCTAGCAGAATCCACTGACCAATAACATTTACAAGAGCAGGCAGTATATGAAAATTCAGAAGAGCTTTCTGAAGACTGAGCTCACTTGAAGATGTGCACTCACAAACTTAAAAAGGAGGTGAGATATCAAACCATGCCAAAAGGTGACAAACTGGCATTGAGTTTCATGACTTTAGGATGAATGATATCCAAGCAGTCAGCTACACAGTTGCAACCCAAGTCAAAAGACAGACAAAATTGCTACCAATAACTCATGTAAGAATAAACCTACTAAGGAGGCAATTTGTCAGTATTTTGCAAAATCTGATCATCCTCACCTGTGACAGGAGTCAGCTACAAAGCTACTACTAACTGACCGACTATACCAACGAGGAACAAACTTAAAAAAAAGTGTGAAAAATTCAGCTGTGGTGCAAAATCTGTTGGATTTTGCTTCAATATGAAAACTGCTGCCACTAAAAGAATATGTGAAACCTGTGAACTAGGAAAAGCTGAGCCAGTCCACAAAATAGGGAAACATTCCCTTTGAAATAAGAGAAGAAAGCTGTGCAAAGGGATAAGGAACCTAAACTATTTATCCAAGAAATAAACACAACTGCTAGTCAACTTGAGATTCAAAAGAAATTTCCGAGAGAATCATCTTTTCCTTTGGGGTATATCTGCATGGCTATTTTTGTAACTAAGATCACCAAAGGGCATATTAAAAGTATTACCAAAAAATCCCAACGAGGAAGAGGAAGAGAAGACAACAGCAGAGCTTTGGGTTTACTAAACAATATTTTCATGCTTTATACCACCACCTACAAGGAAGGCTGGTAAAAGAAGAGCCATTGAAGACTAAGAGCACAGTTTGCTGAGGTCACTTTCACTGAAGTTTGCTGTTGTAAAGGCCACTAGTCCTGGTAAAAGCAACGGTCCAAAAAGCACAAATAGCCTGTTTCATTGAGAAATATCAGTTTGCAGATGCAATGGGGAAGGAGCACTGCTGGGAGCATCAGATTTGAGAGAAGACTGGGAGAACAGAAGGGGGAAAACACATTTTGAAGTACACGAGGACAAGCAGAGAAGACAGCATAAGGTTTTAATTTGGTTTAAATGAGGAGCCTCTGATGTCCATGAGAATTTTGATGCATAAAGCTTAGCTAGAAAGCATTGAAAAGCATGATGCTTTTGGAGGACACCAAAATAACCTGAATGGAAGGACAGATAACATTGCTATGCTAAAATAGAGGACAAAAGATGCTGCCTAACTCAGTGGTATTTATAGGAATCTGCATTTGTTAGAGCCAGCAGCAGTAAGCATGAAATACAAATCACTTGAGTGGACTACTGTATCTCTCTGCCTTTCGCTAACCAAAATAATTTTCTTTGTAAAAATCTGCTACTCATCATCCTCAGAATCCCAGTCTTCTGTGGATTTTTCAAAGCTATTCTTTGAACTAAAAAGTCACCTTCAATACTACCATATGACCAAAGCATTCACAGGTGAGAAGCATGCTGCTTACTGCTACAAAAACAGCTTTCCCTTGGGACTTCCCAGCCTCACTGACAGGCACTCTCAGGCCAGAAGGCTCTGTGGTCTATGGATGGCTTGTTACTAAGAAATCCCATTCTGTGTTGTTCTGACACCAGTAGAAATGTATCCACCCCCACACCTGCCTACTGCTCTCCAAAAAGGGGATGGGCCTCTGCTATAAAGTGCTTAAGAGCTACAAATGAAAATGGCCCACTGTACACCCTAGGATTAAGCTCTGTCTTCGGGACATTTGAGCACTTCCTACTCAGCCTGTTTCTGTACTTCTGGCCAAGCACCTAATACACATTATTCTTCTTAAAATCAGTGGTCTCCTTCATTTCAAATTTCACCCACTTTTCTTCTCTTGGTAAATTTAACTTTGCTTAATTTTTCAAAACTTCTCTGCACAGTCCAACCTAGTAATACACATGCCTGCAGGTGGGAAGAGCCACAGATTTTGGGGTATTTCTCTTTCCTATTAAAGGCTTCTACTGTATTGGAATTTGCCACATTTATTGCTGAATTAGAATCTTTTTGGTTTATTTTCCTCTTTTATTTCTGCTCCTTTAAGCCTCTTCCCCAATAGTCACCATCTGTTTCATTAATCAGCACCTACCTTTCCCATACAAATTCTTCCCTTGCCTTAACTCTATCCTCCTCGTTGTCTAACCTTTTCCTTTACTGCCTGAAGAATAACTTCCACTTCCCCTCCTCCTTATCTACATGGACTCCTCTTTCCACGCACAGTGCCAGAGGCGGCACAGCTCTCTACAACACTGCTAACAAACACTTCTCTACCAAAGCCAGCCAAAAATCCTCCTCTAAGTCACATCACAAGTCCCAACAAAGTGAATGGGGATACTTGAGTGAAGCCAGCAGGATCCGTCCCTTTGTGTTGTTTTGCCATAGCAACATGAACCCAAGTTTCTAGGCCATCCAAGGCCGCCTTCACAGCCAAAGCTTTTTCACTTTTTGTTTGCTTGTTTTACGCATGGCAACCATTTAATTTATTTAACCAGTTTTTTGCCCATTTGTCCAAGTTGGTTCCCTATGTGAATGCAATGAATACATGCACTCCATGTGAAAGTAAAAAAGCCAATCATTTGTAATCAAGTACAGCCAAGTTCAAGAAAAAAACCCCACCCCAACATTAATTATACAAGCAGTTCTATAAACTCAGGAATAGAAAAACAGCTCTTGAAAGAGTTTATTTAATAACTCCACTCCTACATATTAAATATGCATTTTTGCAGATTTCTTTTTTATTAGATGACATTTATCCTCTGTCAATTCTCTGTGATTTGCACACGTAGAGGTCAAAAAGATGACTAATAGGATTAGCAAATATTCATGTGGAATTGAAAATATGTACTTTTTTAATGCCTTATGTCCAAGGCATATACATGAAGTTCCACATTCAGAACTGAAAACAGTAACTTATTCATAAACTATTAAGGGGACAGACTCTGGTTTAAAAACAACAAAGTGGTTTCATTTTCAGGGAATATATGAATAGTAATAAAACTAAAAATCCTGACATATCAAAAGCCCAGGGAAAAAGTAGCTCTGATGTCCTGCAGTTCACATGCTGCTGTGCTTGTAATGGGACATTTCAACAAGTCACAGTTAAAGGCTATGGGAACTGGATAAGTGCCAAGGGAAGATGCTTTATGCCATTTAGCAATTGTGCCCCTCTATTCCATGTGACTTATAACATTTTGTTTATTTATTTTCTTATTAATGTATTACAATGTAGCCTGTCAAATTACAGGAAGCCCCAAAATATACACAGATGAGTCGATAAAAGATGTAAAACCGTTCTACCTTTTTAGTAATGGTTTACTGAGGTGTGTTTTGCTACCTGGTACGTATTTTGCCCACAGCTGGCAGGAAGTTCCAGTTTGGAAGAGGGTATCTATTCTCAGTATCATTTCATAACAACTTTCCCTTCAGCTTCACAATATATATATTTTTTTTAATCACCTGACTTTATTACTGGTGTTTAGATGACACCAGTAATGTCAT